GCCTAGGGTGATTACTGATGCCATAAACAAGAGTGTCAATTTGTTAAGTCAACAACAGGAGTCACTGTGCACTTACTCCTCATGTAGGATCTTTGTCCTTAGTGTGCTGTACATTGAGATTTAATGCTATAACTAGTACTCAAACAGTATTTTTCACTTTATGTTTCCGTGTGGGAGCAAACTGTTGAAATCTTTTTAATGTATGCTAAACTGATCTTCTGTATATAAAGAGAATCGAAAATGAATCATGATGTGAATGGAAGGAGAGAGGGAGTGGGAAAGGGGAGGGTTGCGGGTGGGAGGGACATTATGGGGGGGGAGCCATTGTAATCCATAAGCTGTACTTTGGAAATTTATATTCATTAAATAAAAGTTAAAAAAATGAAAATAAATAAATAAATAAATATGTCTTTTTGAGTTTTCAGAAAAAAAAAAAGAATGGATTTGAGCAAGAGTGAAGACAAATCAACAGAACACCATGATTCACCTTCTACAAATGGATTCACAGCGTTAAATAAAAAGGCTTTGCCAGAATTGGACATATTATAACCCCAGTACAGACTCTAAGCTTAGCAGTAATGAGATATCATTGACTGGGAATAAAAGTGGTAGCCCAATGTTTAGCTTATCAAAGAGCAGGGTGTAAAGGTTAGGGGCACAGACTCTGTAGTTGGCTTCCTGTGTTTAGAGCATTTCTGCTTTTCTATGAAAACATATGTGCCTGATTCATTCTATAAAACTCGGCATAGGAATTGTATTCACCTCATAAGTATTTTTTAAAAGCACATGAGGGTACTTCAAAGGGTTTACGTAAAGTAGAATGAAAAGATTGATTTATTTCATGTTAGTGCAAAAGATCTTGAAATCCATAATATGAATTCTCATGAACTTTTTAAAAACACCCTAACATGCATGGATTTCAAAATTTTTGTACCAAAACAAAGATCTGTTAATTCCACTTTCCACACACTTTTTGAGGTACCTTTGTGTGACTATCTAAATATAGACACAGATACACAAAAATCTATATATGTATTACTTCAAAGAATATCTGATATATATGACTCTATATAAATTGTTGATTAAGCAGATTTAGGAAAGTTGATACCCACAAACACTTCCAGTAATTGCTTATATTGAACAGTGTTAATAGTCAAAAAATAAATATTTTTTATGTTTTTTTTCTCAAAAGCTTTAGGCTAATGTTGACATTTGTATAACAAGTGAAAATTGTGATAAGTTTACCTTTAAAACAGGCTTAAAGTTCATAATTTACTTAAAACTCAATAATTCACTGAATTTCTAGATTATTAATAGAGTAATAAACCATTTACTTGCAATGCTGACAATATACATTTGATAACTAGTTTTTCTGTTTAGATCATTTTTACTAATAACTCAAGAAAAAATGGATACCAAATGTACATTTGGTTTCAAACATCAGCATGCATACCTATACACACACAGCCTTATGAATAAATTTCTATGCAAATTAGTGGCTGGTAACACATTAATTCAAAAAGTAAGCAAATCTTACAGGATTTTCATTGCAATGAGAAGGACAATTGGTGGAATTATAGACGTCCTCAGTTTTTACACATTCACCATTGCTGCACACCTATAAATGAAAAAGCAGATATGAATTATAATGACCTATGATATGTGAAAATGTAATTTCATGTACATACATGTGAAATTATACATTCTAATTCACATGATTTCACCACAACTTATGTGGTTTTTATTTTGAAACTCCACATGTGGAGTCTTCTGTGGATAGAGAAACTCTCCATAATTTTTTGATTAATAAGTATGCACGAACATTAATATATATAAATTTATTAATTAAAATGTTCACATCCCTACTAATTCTTAGGATATTAATCTATTAAAGATACAACAGTACAATTTTATTTCTTATTTCTAGTATTTTTAAAAATTTGCTATGAGAATCATCTAAGCTTTTGAAACCATACATGCTAGTAGGACATTTATTAACATCAATTAATCTTCTTATTTGTGTTTAATACTATTGTTTTTAATTTTTCCTTTAAAACGGTAAATTTTACTATCAAAATACTGTTTTTGTGACTTTGGGTTTTTCCTGGTTAATATTTGCTCATTTATTTTTTGCCATCAACTCAAAGTTTAAATTCAGAGATCTTAATCCATTCATATTTACTTTGATAAGTGATATGTTTAAAGCTACAACTTCCATATGATTAGATCTTTTGTAATGTTAGTCTTTTAGCCTATTTTTTGCTTTAATTATCACTTTTATTTTGGAATAATTTTTTTAAAGATTTATTTCTTTATTTGGAAGTCAGAGTTACACAGTGAGAAAGAGAGAGAGGTCTTCCATCCAGTAGTTCCCTCCCCCATTGGTCACAACAGTCAGAGCTGTGCCTATCCAAAGCCAGGAGCTCCTTCCAGGTCTCCCACATGGGTGCAGGGCCCCAAGGATTTGGGCCACCTTCTTCTGCTTTCCCAGGCCATGGCAGAGAGCTGGATCAGAAGGGGAGCAGCTGGGGGCTTTACCTGCTACGCCACAGTGACGGCCCCGCGATTATTTTTTCTAAGTTGAATGCTATACATACTATTATCTACACACTTACCTAGTTTACATTAATTATTTGAACCTAAAGAGTTCTATGTAAGAAAAAATTTTACATGAAGAATTAAGGATAAGACACTTAGCATGCTTTTACTTCTTTCCCCTTCCTGTGAATTCTAATCTTTTGTAATAAATTTAGATTTTATGAAATTATATTACTATTTGCTAAGTATTTTAAAAATTCTTATAATAAATGCATTGCTAATAAATTCAACTCAATAGTTTCATATTGTTGCCTCTAATCATTTCTAATTGTGATTGAGATTGAGTATCTTATATTTCTTCTATTTAGAAATTAAGTCTTTCCATTTTTCCCCCAAGTATGCTGCTGAGCCCGTCCATACCTGAAATGAACTGCCAATTGTTTGGTACTTTGTTGAAAATCTATATTTTCTAGCTTTTTGTTAGTCTATATGTGTTAATTTTCCCAAATTAAAGTTTATCATTATTTTGATATTCATTTAATCATTTTAATGGAATGAAAGATAAATATATGGACTTATAATATAATTCTCCTTTAAATCATTCAATTCTAGTTTTTGCATTCTGACCTTTTTTTTTTTCCAATTTATTTCTCTTATATAATTGCCATTGTAATATTAGTGGGTGGTGGTATAGAGAAATGGGGAGAAACTTTTTGATTTTAAACAGCTGAATTTTGAATAATACAGTATGTTTTTTTTTTTTGTTTTTTTTTTTTTTTTTTGACAGGCAGAGTGGACAGTGAGAGAGAGAGACAGAGAGAAAGGTCTTCCTTTGCCGTTGGTTCACCCTCCAATGGCCGCCGCGGCCAGCGCGCTGCGGCCGGCGCACCGCGCTGATCCGATGGCAGGAGCCAGGAGCCAGGTGCTTTTCCTGGTCTCCCATGGGGTGCAGGGCCCAAGCACCTGGGCCATCCTCCACTGCACTCCCTGGCCACAGCAGAGGGCTGGCCTGGAAGAGGGGCAACCGGGACAGAATCCGGCGCCCCGACCGGGACTAGAACCCGGTGTGCCGGCGCCGCTAGGCGGAGGATTAGCCTAGTGAGCCGCGGCGCCGGCCCTACAGTATGTTTTTCATGTACCCTTGATGAACTGCATGTTGTTTAACATACATGTCACAACATTTCATCATAGCATGATAAACCCTTTCAAATTTGGCCTCTTTCTCTCTGTTCCACTTCATCTTCTGCCGTTTTGCCCAAATCTCTAGTGATACTGACTTGTCAATTATCCAGACGGGCCACATACTTTTTACCTTTGCATATTATACAGGTATTTCTTCCTTAAATATTCTCTGCAACCCAGTGTTCACTGTAGCATGAGTCACACCAGCCAAGATATAGAATCAACCAAAGTAGCTTAGGTAATGAGTACAGAACTACAGATAGAAAGAATTAACTTCTAATGTCGTATAGTACAGCTGGGTGACTATCATTAATAATTGAATGTATATCTCAGCATAGTTAAAGAGAATTTTGAAAGCTATCAACACAAAAATAAATGAGGTGATAGATATGCGAATTACTCTGGAGCCTCACTATATACAGTTATCAAACTATAACACTAATCCATATTGTATACATACATGTATAATATGTATCAATTAAAGCAAATTTAAAATTAGGAAACAATTTTTCTCAGTGTTGAAAATGTTGTTCGTCAAGTCAAAGCCAAAATGTCACTCATTTAAAATATTATCCATATTCTGGGGGAAAAAAGCAACCAATTATTCATTTGGACCCTGAACATACTTGTTATAGCATAACAATAGTTTAATTGAATGTGTGGAATTCTCAAGTACTCTCATATTTAAATCAGATGTTTCTGGCATTGTAATAGGCCCCGTGGTGTATTGTCAGGAAATATTGTTGGGTGAAGAAAATAAGTTAAGAATGCATGTCTACTTTATAGGAACATTAACTGGAAAAAGTCATGCTAATAATCTCATTAAATAACTACAACATGCTAATTAAGCAAATTGTTAATAATTATATCATTTGATACAAATAAAATTAAACAAAAGGAATACTTACTACAGTGTTATCGCCACTCTGCTCTTTGATTAAGCAACTTGTCAAGGTTCTTCCTGCTTTTTCATTTATAGTCCCCTCTGGATCCAATTATCAGAACCAGTGATTTTTTTTTTTTTTTAATTTTTTTGACAGCAGAGTGGACAGTGAGAGAGAGAGAGACAGAGAGAAAGGTCTTCCTTTTTGCCTTTGGCAGAACCAGTGATTTTTCAAGTGGCTAAACCAAGAATTTTCTTAAAGGGTTCCTTTCAACTTACCATTCCATCTCCGCATTTTGTCCCAGGAAAAACCAGGCCAACATCTTTAGAATCATAGTATAAGAACATGCTTTTGCATTCCACAGTGTCATTCTGCTTTGCATCCTTAAGGTGATAGATCTTGTCTTCCCCAATGAGATTGGAATGATGTCCTCCCATACAGTATATCTTTCCACATTTGATGTTTCTGAGGAAAGGAAGGCATTTCAGACTTGAGACCGGAACCATGCCTTTAGAGATTAGATTTGTCAGCAGGTTAAATGGGCAGAACAAGCAGAGAAAACCCTGAACACTTAAAGTTCTGACCCTGGGAACACAGATGAGTAGGTAAAGAGTATAAAAAGATAAACATTGCTTTTTGGTTTCTTTGTGATTCTCATAGGTAACATATCCTCACAAGTTTACAGAGGATATTCCTTTTTTGCAATCTGAATTAGCATAGCTTTAACTGAGAGACACACCAAGATTTTCTTCACATGCTTCCATGCAGAGTGCCTCAGTTGGTTCTGACAACAACTGGCCAGGTTGCTATTGTTCCAACCCCCGTTTTACAGGGTAGGCGGTCACTGAAAGCAGGGGAAGTTAAGTGACTGTCAATGTCCACCCTGTCTGTAGAATTGACCATAGGTTTTTGTCGTGGTTGTTTTCAGTCCAAAGCCTGTCCTGCATGTAAAAAGGCTTGCAGAATGTCAGTAACAACCTTGAAAACAGGGCTGTGCTGTTGTATTTTTAGATCAGATCTAACTTTCAAATTCTCCCTCTCACCCAATATCAGTTTCTACTTTACTTGTAATGACTTCACTTTTTTATTTCCCGCTTTCTCTTCCTGTTTTCAATGTATTCCCCCACCCCCTCTTCTGGTACCATTCTTTTCCTCCTTTTCCAAGCTTCTTAAGCCCCCCCCCCCCCACCTCACATTTCCTGTTGGCATTCCATGACTCTCACTGGAGAAATGCAGTAAATAAATTCCAGTCAACCTCGTCAGGGTTGTGTGCACTCTCCCTCCCTGCATTCTCTATGAAATGAGGTGTGCAGCTGTTGGAACTGGAGCCCTTCTGATTTTGCAAAAACATTATTAAAGGGCACTTACTTCTCTTCACAGGGAACTAATCTGTTGTCCTCTCTTTTGCAGTATCCAAATTTATTTCCTTTTTTATTCATCTTGTAGCATATGTCAACACTCTCTTTTGCTCCTGGGGTGCAAAGTGGTACAAGTAAGAGAATGAAAGTATAACTATCACAAATCACAAAAGACCTTATTTTTCTGATACTTTTGAACTTTCAGTATCAGGCCAAATCAGAGTGGTGAGGCACAGTGGCATAAATACAGAACTTAAAAACCAGCCTATTATGTCAGGAGGATATTTTAGATAGAGGATATGGAGTAGAGATACTAGATATTAAAAAAGAGAAATATACATTAGTTCTCATACTCATCCTGACGTAGCCAATTACTACAGAGGTAAGATCAACAGATGTTAGAGGTAACATCCAGAGAAATTCTAGATAATATCTTGGGACATTACCACAGGGAATATTGGCTCCAATCTTGCTCCAAATTCTTTCAGCAAAATAATAAATACAGATTGATATCTTTATTAGTCATTCACTCCTATTGTCTCTTACCATGATCAAATAATTCAGAACACTGTTCACCCCGAGTGGGACATTTCCCCATGAAGCAGTAGCCTTCTTGGTTCTTACAAGGAAATCCATTGACTTGGTATTGGTCCTTAGGACATTCAGGGGAGTGGCCACTGCACACTTCAGGTAAATCACATTCATCTTTTGCTGGTCTGCACACAGATCCTGCTGTTTTCAACTGTTAACATTAAACAGATGGAAGCTTGGACACATTTAGGTTAGTTTCCCTAAGTAGGCAAAAAGGTGACCCATTTATTTTTTCTTAAAAAAGGCTTTAAAGATGAATCATTTTTGATTTCACTGAGAATTATTATTTGTAAATACCTTGATTTTTAGAACAAAATTGCAGTTTTGAGATTTGGAATTAGAACAGCCTAAAGTAAAATTAGAATGGATAAAACAGATAAAATAAATGAGAACACCTGCCATGTTATCTTATTTTTATCTCTTGCTTTAGTCCATGCCTTCCTCACCACAACCAGGCTAGTAAGTGCTTATGAGGAATCTCCATTTCCAAGAAATCAAATGTACCTCCTTATGAACTGGAAAAATACTGACTTATTGCTGGAGATAATTGATTGCCATATTGTACCATTCAGCCTTTGAACAAACATCTACTCTCATTTCTGGAGAGATCTGGAGATTCATGATACATTAGTTCACAATCAAGGTAGGTAAAAGTAGTATCAGCCGGCGCCATGGCTCAATAGGCTAATCCTCTACCTTGCAGCGCCGGCACACCGGGTTCTAGTCCCGGTCGGGCGCCGGATTCTGTCCCGGTTGCCCCTCTTCCAGGCCAGCTCTCTGCTGTGGCCAGGGAGTGCAGTGGAGGATGGCCCAGGTGCTTGGGCCCTGCACCCCATGGGAGACCAGGAAAAGCACCTGGATCCTGGCTCCTGCCATCAGATCAGCGCGGTGCGCCGGCTGCAGCGGCGGCCATTGGAGGGTGAACCAACGGCAAAGGAAGACCTTTCTCTCTCTGTCTCTCTCTCACTGTCCACTCTGCCTGTCAAAAAAAAAAAAAAAAAAAGTAGTATCAATAAACCTTTGCATTAAGTTGTTTAGATTTCTTGTCATCTTCCTGAGGAATATTTCTCCACCCATAAGCCATTTCACTGGCATTGGAACACCAGTCTTCCTTATTAACTAAGGCTAACTACGTTGGTAATGATTGAAAAAGGAGAAACAACAGTGTTGTTCATATAACTTTACTCCAAAAATATCATATTCTGCTTATCCTAATGCTCAGAAGTTGCAGCATGTCAAAAAGGTAATGTTGGGCATTTGGAAGCCTGATTTCATTCAGGGTCATCCCTTGGCCAGACAACTCTTTGATCCTACATATACTTAAACTGAGAACAAACATTCCCTCTCCCAGTTAAGAATCTTACCTGACAAGATGCACAACACTCTCCTTCTGCACATGTATATCCTTGTTTCAAAATACATTTGTGAGCTTCACAGCAAGGATTAGTGCACTCCTAGCAATAATCAGAAATTAAAGATCAGAAATTGGTTGGGCTTTGGCTCCTGTTTGAAGTTAATTAGTTTTGCTTTTCTACATTCTTTGAGTGAAATACAAATGTGTGATCCTAGGAGGTGATAATTAGATAAAGATAACTATTTGGAGCTGGTGTTTGCGATTTTTACTGTGTTTCCTTCCTTCATGACTGTTGAATATTCCACAGCTAGTGCATCTAATTGGCAAAATCAGAAAATCTATAATTTATGGTCTTTCTGCTGATGACTTCCATTCCCTAAATGTCCTTCCCTATACCCAAGTTGATGTGGGTTAATACAACTTCTGTGTTTTTCTCAAGATGCCAAGTAGTCCAGCCTGACCTTATAAGACATCAAAGTAACAGAAGGATGATCACTTGGGCTTTCTCTAATCCAATAAAATTAAAAATATAAAGAAACTTCTCTGCATTCAGTCAGATAAACATTGAGTTGAAACTGTAAAATCATTCCAAAGAAACACACCATAAGTAAGTCTCTTCATATTTAATCAGAGACATCTGAAGAGTAGTTCTTAATGATCACTGGTCAGGTCATTGTCCCGACTATGAATATGGAGTCTCTTAATTATGGCCTGTGAGATCTCTTTTGAACTGTACCAGGTCTTGTGCATAGATACCGAAATTGCAGTCCTTAGGCCAACAGCAGCAGAAGACTTGAAGGTTGGTGGGAACATAGAGCCTCAGCCATTTTCAGGAAATCAGACCCCACATTTAACAATGGCCCCTGGTGGTTTATATGCATTGTTAATTTGGGTAGTAGCTGTCTAGAACACATGGTTATTTGATGCATTTCTGAAAGAAATAACTTCTATGTTGGGGAGAACAACACATGAGAGCTCCTTTAATTTTTTTTTCCTCAAAGATGTTTTATAAATGTTTCAGGACTAAGATTACAACAAATATGTGAAAGGGTTTGAAAGTTTGTGGTCTAATAAAAAGTTTCTCCTAATGGGAACTGTCCAACTGTGATATAAAAGCTGGCTGTATAACATCGTTAGTAAAACTCAGTTGACTATTAAGATTTTGTAGAACAGATTCCTCTGTGCACAGGAGATCAGATAATGACACCTGTGGGCAATTCTCACAAAATGAGCCAATTATATAAACCAGGCAAATATGATGTTGCTAACCTCAATTCATGACTTGCTAAGGAGCCTTGAAATGAATCTGCACCAAGAGATAGAAAAGCACAGGATTTTTAATAGCTATATCCCTGCCTGAACATCAGCTTTATAAAGACAGCATCATTTGTAAGTACCTGAACAAGGCCACAGTCACACTCTTCTCCCTCATCCACTTTCTTGTTTCCACAGTAAGGGATATCATATGGTTTGTCAGGAAGCGGACTATTGAGCATACACGTTGGTTTGTAATCCTTCAGGTATTGCTGGTATTGGATTTGGCTACATTTACTGAATTTAAATGCAGGGATGCTAGAAATAGGGGAAGAGAAACAGATTAATCCTATCAATGCAGAGTGGTGCAGTTTCTATGAAAGTTCTATGTATAAAGATTTTAAAAAGCACAAATATAAATATTCAGTGTTAGAGCAAATCTATAGTATTTGAAATATTCTCAAAACACAGTTAATACATACAATTTCAGCAATGCAGCCACCACCAATACTTCCTGAAGCCCACAATTTAGACTGGCTCCCTGAACTTACAGTTCTCTTCTCCCTTTTAACTTGAAGTAAGCCATATAATTGTTTATCATCCTTGCAAGGTTATAAACTTCCTAAAGCAAGGACTATGTCATGTTCAATTAAGAATCAACCACTAGCTAACACAGTGCTAGAAATACATAGTTCTTTATAAAGGTGTTTTTTTTTTTAAACAAACTACCTCATAATATCATATACTTTTTAAAGAATGTGACATATTTCTTTTGACACTAAAATATACCTTCTTTCTATCTTCCTTTTGTTTTGACCCCATTGACATTATTATTGATGCTATGATTGAATAAGAAGGATTTTTAGGATCTTGATTCTATTAGAAGGGGATGGTAGGACTCTAAAAATATTACTAATGATATAGCTGATTAGATATTACTAAGTTTCTACTCTATTCCAGTTACTACATTCATTTTATCAATATGTGGAAGCATGAATCATCACTAACATACACTGTTCTTCATATATACCATGCATTAGGTGCATTGGCCATGAAGGGATTCAAATTGGTGCAAAACTTAGGACCAGAACACATGAAAACTCACAGGAGTATTGATGAATGCATGCATATTATTGATTCTTTAACTATTTATGAATTATCTATCACAATGAGTACTTGGAAAGGTTGCCTGAGGCTTTTCTAGACAGAGAAAGTTCTCTGACATCAAGGAGCTTATATTCTAGTGGAAAAGCAAAATATTAAGCTAACTATGTAAAGCATAGAATCTGCTAAGGAAAACAAAAGGAGAGAGGGTAGAAAATGACAAGGTACATGTGTGACAGAGCAGAATTAAAAATTTGGATCAAGTAATCGGGAAAGACTTTGCTTAAAATGATATTTGAGTACAAGTGTGAGGGAGGAAGTTGCAGCTTATAGCAAAGATGACACACAAGGCATACAGTCTATTCCTTTTGGAAGCACCTTGGTGGAGATTAACACTAATGGATTGTTGTGTACTTTTGCAATTACCCAATTGGAGTTTTAGAATTTGTCTTACTGGGGCCAGTATTGTGGCTAGCAGGTAAAGCCAGTGTCTGCAATACCTGCATCCTGTATCAGTTCCAGTTCATGTCCTAGCTACTCTATTTCTGATCCAGCTCCCTAATGGCCTGAGAAAAACAGTGAAAAATGGCCCAATTGTGTGGGTCCCTGCCACCCATGTGGGGATGTGGATGAAGCTCTTGGCTCCCGACTTTGTCCTGGCTCAGCCGTGGCCATTGCAACCACTTGGGGAGTGAACCAGCAAATGGAAGTTTCTCTCCTTCTCGCTCCCTTCCCTCCCCCACCCTGTTACTCATTCAAATAAATAGATTTTAAATAAATTAAATAGATCTTAAAGAAATCTTTAAAAAATTCTTTCACTATATCACTGCAAAGGGACACATATAACAGTTGTTAAGATTTGGCCTCATAAGAAAAACTCCTTTCTCTACCAGGTTTTGTAGCAGACCTTCCAGGGAATTATGCTGGATAACATTATATTCCTACAATAATGAAGTTTAACCAAAATCCACTCATATAATACTTAGATGTATTCTCTATATGAGCCTCACCTTCCACTACTATCCATCACACATTTTCCCAATGGGCAGGTACACGGAAATGCATCATGGTCCATCCCAAGATTATGCCCCAACTGATGTGCCATCCTGTTTGCAACTATATTCAGGTCAGGTAAGAGATCCTGGTTAAAATAAAATGCATGTTAGAAATTTCTAAAAAAGAGAGCATACTCTAGTAGGTAGTTTTTTTAACTATTGCTCAAAATAGTTAATTAGTATCCATTTGAGAGATCATCTAAATTACCTCCCTCCTCGACATGTCAGTGTTTAAATTATATAGTGAAGTCAGCAAAATGACATTTTAAATACTTGAAGCTCCAGAATTTTGAAATACTTTTTTAATTTTTTTTGACAGGCAGAGTGGACAGTGAGAGAGAGAGACAGAGAGAAAGGTCTTCCTTTGCTGTTGGTTCACCCTCCAATGGCCGCCACAGCCGGCGCGCTGCGGCTGGCGCACCGCGCTGATCCGATGGCAGGAGCCAGGTACTTCTCCTGGTCTCCCATGGGGTGCAGGGCCCAAGTACTTGGGCCATCCTCCACTGCACTCCCTGGCCACAGCAGAGAGCTGGTCTGGAAGAGGGGCAACCGGGACAGAATCTGGCACCCCACCGGGCCTAGAACCCGGGTGCCGGCACCACAAGGCAGAGGATTAGCCTAGTGAGCTGTGGCGCCGGCGGTTGTTATCTTGATGCACAGTTAGATTTCATGTTTTTATCTCTACATGTCTAAAAATCAATTTCCAAAAAAGAGTAGGATACTATGTTGCTATATAGTAATAAAAAAAAGCCTCTTAATTTTGTTACTCTACACAATTTATATGAAGTTTAAAATGTGTCATGGACCCGTTATAGTACTGTAAGTGAAGTAGTGGCAGCCTGTATCATATTAGATTGCTTCTGTTGTACTAAATGCAGTTTTTAGGTTACTAAAACACCATAGGCAGGGGCTGGTGTTGTGGCGTGGTGGGCTAAACACCACCTGTGATGTCAGCATCCCACATGGGCACCAGTTTTTGTCTTAGCTGTTCTACTCCCAATCCCACACCCTGATAATGGCCTGAGAAAACATTAGAAGATGGTTCACATGTTTGGGCTCCTGCCACTCACATAGGAGGTCCAGATGAAGCTCTGGCCATTGCTGCCACCTGGGGATTGGACCAGTGGATAGAAGGTCTCTCTTTCTCTCCTTTTCTGTAACTCTTTCCAATAAATAAATAAATCTTTTAAAAGTGCAGGCAAAACAAATGGCATAACAATTTCTATAAAATAATTATGTAGTCATTTTAGTAAGTACTAGCTTCTAAGTCTGTGGTCTTAAAAATGAACTGGGCATAGTCACAACTAGGAAACAAATACGAACCATCAGGTTTTCAGTAATTTCTCAGGATTACTTGGACAGCATTTAACAGAAATTTAATGACTTGGAAGGAGTTAAATAAGGGGATTCAACAGTTCATAGATTTATTCTTTCTTAAAATGAATTACAAGCCTGTCTTGATTTGATACATTAAGTGTTTTACGTACTTCTTTTTGTCAGCACAAGAACAATTATCGTCATTTGCTTAATAAGCTATCAAGTTTTATGTTCATTACTGTCCTTACAAATAACTTTTTTTTAAAAAAAGATTTTATTTATTTATTTGGGAGGTAGAGTTACAAAGAGAGGGAGAGACGGAGAGAAAGGTTTTCCATCCTCTGATTCACTCCCCAAATGGCCGCAACAGTCAGAACTGGGCCGATCCGAAGCTGGGAGCTTCTTCTGGGTCTCCCATCTAGGAGTAAGGGAGCTGGGTTGTAAGAGGAGAACCCAGGACACGAACCGACACCCGTGTGGGAAGCTGGTGCTGCAGGCAGAGGTTTAGTCTACTTTGCCACAGTGCAGGCCCCAATAAATACATTTATTAAATAAGAGAACTTGCTATTTGTATTTTGATCTGTAACCGATGTTCTTTTAAACTCTGGAAAGCACTGGCTTACCTTCATTAGTCATCTATGGTTTTTTTAAAAATGTTTCTTTTCTCATTCGATAAAAGAAATGTATGTGTTGTCATGACATGTCTATGTGGGAATACATGACAAAATATACATGTGTCTGTTTCAATGCAGCATGTACCATTATGGAAATTTAAATCAAACTTTTCAAGTTTGTAATATAACAAATAAATAAATGGATAAAATACAACCTACCTTAATTACACTGGAGGAAGAATAGGGCAGGCACATACCCTTTGGATAAGAAATTCCTTGGGCATTAGTGTAGAGCCACTTCCCACTATAAGCAAGATACAAACACACTCTTTAATCTAAGGTACTAGTTTAACTAACACAGAGATCAAAGTACAGTGAACTACCTACAACCATGCTAATTCCTTGGCATCTGAAAGTAGCTTTTTGTTTATGGAGTCCTGGAATCCAGGAAGAAATTAGTGCTATTGAGCTTATTTTAAACTTTTGATATACTAGAGACACTGAACAAACCAATGCAATCTTAAATTGAAATTGTCAAAAGCAAAAAATAAGATTAGAGTCCCATTTTACTTGACTCTAGTCTATTCTGCACTCAGCTCTGGATAGGAGCACTTAAAAGAAAAAAAAATAAGCAAGCTAGTTAAATTACAAGCATTCAGAGGAAAAATGCAATGCAGTGAATGGACTTAATTGTATGATCAACTTTTAAGACTTTAAAGTGGAGCAGGCATTGTGGTGTAGCAGGTAAAGCCGCCATCTGTGATGCTGGCATCCCATAGGGACACTGGCTCGAGTCCTGGCTGCTCTGCTTCTGGTCCAGCTCCCTGTCAGTGTGCCTGTGAAAGCAGCAGCAGATGGCCCAAGTACTGAGCTCCAGTACTGATGTGAGAAGAAGCTCCCGGTTCTTGGCTTTGGCCTGGCCCAGCCTCAATCTTTGTAGTCATTTTGGGAGTAAAACAGCAGATAAGTAGGAAGAGGAAGAGATAGAAACTTTTATCTCCCTCTATATAACTCTGCCTTTCAAATAAATAATAAAATAAAAAAAAATCGCAGGGGCTGGGAAAAGCAGCAGATGATGAAACAAGTGTCTGTGCCCTTGCCACTGACATGGGAGACCTGGATGAAGCTTCAGTCTGGCCCAATGCTTGCTGTTACGGCCATGTGGGCAGTGAACCAGGTGATGCAAGATGGATCTCTTGCTCTCTCACTCTCTTTGTAACTCATATTTCAGATAAATACATTTTTTAAAAAAGGATTTTGTTGCTGTCATTTGTTTTCTTTTTAAATATCCAGTTAAGCCATGCAGGGAACAAGCGTGGTCACATACCTGAGTAATATACCATGATCAAAATTCTTCCTTTTTTTAAGGGTTGTTTCTTGCCAAGCTGAAAAACGTAATAAGGTGGTTCTTATATTTGAATCCGGTTCTATTTTATCTCCTTTTGTCCATATTTCAAGGCCAACCAATGTCACATGGATCTTCAAGGTTTTATAAATCTGTTTGAAGAAGAAGTCATTTTTCACAGTGTCAAACCACCCCCACAGAAAAGGATCTGCACGTTCCCTGTGCTGCCCAAGCCCTCCATCCCTTCTACTCAACTTGGGTAGGTAGATGAGGGCCAGAGCTGCTGAGTGTTCATAGAGAAAGTAGGCTGATTTTTATTTTACATGCTTTTGAGTTATTGTTAAAATACTAATCAGAATTAGTTTTAAAAACAAAAAAAATATTATAAAAGGATAATAAATATTGGGTCAAAATGGAAAAAAATATAATTGCAAAGAGTCATTTCATAACTATGAGAAACATGCTTCTATATATCTTTTAAAAATTTATTTTTTTTATTTGAAAGGCAGAGTTATGGGCACTGGGTTCTAGTCCTGGTTGCTCCTCTTCCAGTCCAGCTCTCTGCTGTGGCCCGGGAGGGCAGTGGAGGATGGCCCAGGTGCTTGGGCCCTGCACCCGCATGGGAGACCAGGAGGACCTGGCTCTTGTCTTTGGATCGGCGCAGTGCCAGCTGTAGCGGCCATCAGGGGAGTGAACCAACGGAAAAGGAAGATCTTTCTCTCTGTCTCTCTCTCTCTGTCTATAACTCTACCTGTAAAAAAAAAAAAAAAAAGAAAGAAAGGCAGAAAGGCAGAGTTACAGAGAGATGAAGAGAGACAGAGAGAAAGATCCTCTAACTGATGGTTCACTCCTCAAATGTCTTCAACAGCTAGGGCTGAGTCAAGCCAAAGCCAGGAGCCTGGGGCTTCTTCCCAGTCTCCACATGGGTGAAGGGGACCAAGTACTCACAATATCTACCACTGCTTTCTCAGGCCCACTGCAGGGAGCTGGATCAGCACTGTCTGTAACTCTAGCTCTCAAATAAATAAATAAAAAAATCTTTAAAAAAATAAAGTATGTCAACATTTGTGAGGACCAGGTAAAGAATAAAGCATTCATTTTCTTCATGATACAGTATTCCTATATCCTATTTATAAAACAAATGCAATTTTATGTCCACACAACTGTGCACACATATTTAAAGCAGTTGTATTCATAATAGCACAAAACTGCAGACACAGCAAATGTCTTATAAATGATATATGAATAACCACTGAACTAGAGAGCCCGTTCCTTACAATGTCTTCTTATGTGGCCTTGTTATCTTAGACCCAGAAATCATAGGAGTCAGCAAATAAAAATGTATACAGTTCACAATTTAAAGTTTGTAGACCATTAAAATGATGAATATTTCTAAATTATAATAGATTTTGCTTAAATAGTTACTCTGATTTTTGTGTCAAACCATTGGCAATAATTTATAACTTGAAAGCCTTTTAAAAAATGCAAAACTGTGGAGTAGTGACATTTATAGTAGTGGGATTTGGTTTGTATGTGGTTGGTTTTCCAACACTTTGTATGTGGCTTCATAAAGTTTGTGATCAGAAACTCATTTAAATATCACTGTATTTTCTTAGAAAACAAAAACTTGGAGCTCTGGTTTTTTGCTCTGATTTTTACTAATTAGTCTACTAGGTTATTTTTTGTGTTTGAATGCCTCAGTATTAGGGTGACTACTACAACAGTCCAGAAGAGAACTACCCTAACAGCTTCTTTGTATTTTTTTTTTTTCAGCTTGATTCAAACTATTTCGACCCTTACCAAGTTGACAAAATTCACCATTCCCCAAATTCGGTGCCTTAGTTTGTCGTGAGGATGACTGTTCCTACGGTACTGGAAATAAAAACATTGTATCAATATTAATTAGTAATAACCACTTAATAAGAATTCAACACAATCTTTTTTCTTTTCTTTTTTTATTTATTTGGCAGGTAGAGTCATAGACAAAGGTCTTCTTTCCATTGGTTCACCCCCCAAATGGCCACTATAGCTGGCACTGCGCCAATCCGAAGCCAGGAGCCAGGAGCTTCTTCCTGGTCTCCCATGCAAGTGCAGGGCCCAAGCACCTGGGCCATCCTCCACTGCCCTCATGAGCCACAGCAGAGAGCTAGACTGGAAGAGGAGCAACCGGGACTAGAATCCGGCGCCCATATGGGATGCCGGCGCCACAGGTGGAGGTTTAACCAAGTGAGCCAAGGCGCCAGACCCAACACAATTTTTTTTTTTATTATGAGAAATTATAAGGAAAAAAAATCAAAGCATTGGAACAATAAATCACCTAAAAACTGAGCAACTACATAGCTATCTTATCCAAAAAAAAAAAAGTTTCTAGCTACTACAGTCTCTAGAGATGTCCTTTGATTACTACTACTTTAAGATTTTCTTTTTACTTTGTCCTCTTTTCACATTCTATTGCATGAATTTTATTAAACCAGTTGGTTAGTGTTCTGTAGTTTATCATGTTAATGAAACAGCACTTGTTGAAGTTTGAGCACCCATTATACTACACAAAACAGGTACTTACACAGCTGTCCTGTGCTCATGGTGCTCACAAATTATGGGATATATAATCAAAAGGATTCTGACAGTATCTAAGGGATCAGAGGGAATGACACTTTATCAAACAGTGATTTGTAGCCAGCAGGGTGTGGGGCAGGGATGTGTAGGTGTGAACTTCCCACTTGTGTTGCCAAACGTTTACAAAATTGTTGGTGTTCTCAAGGGCCATCAGACAGTTGTGTTCCGTTCTTCCCTTTCAACTTGCTGGCTTCAGTGCTGGTACTTACATCCATATCCTTACCTCCCTGCCCTGTTTCAAACTCCTCACATTGCTTCAACATACATAAATTCCTCAGCATTTTTCCAAAAGATACCCTTGGTCTTTCTATTCTCTGACTGGCATGCTCTTTCTACCTTTCCCTTAATATGTGTATGTGTATGTGTATATGTTTGGGTGTGTGAGAATGGGTTCTTCAAACTATTCATAGAAAATGCATATTATGAAAACACTAGGCATGGATTTCAAAGTGTTTTTTATACCAAAGTGAATTTATCTTTTATTTCTACTTTTCCATGAACTTCTGAAGTACCAAAATGTATGTTACAGTTACATATATTTATAAATACTATTTTATCTTAATGTTTATTTTTTATATATTACTTTATATAAACAAATATATGTTTAATATTCAGAATCTAACATATTGGATACTCTTTGTCAAATGAGAGTGAATAATTTGTCATGAAGACTGCTCTAAAGATATTACTTAAATATTTCAAGAATATTAAAGCAGAATGTATTAGAGCTATGCATACAAAGTCAGTCTCATCTATCTGAAATCTCATCAAGCAAAACTTCCCTAATTCGAGAGATTTAATATTTTTAAAAACTGTTATTAGTATTTACTAATAAAGATTTTTTTTAAACTTTTATTTAATGAATATAAATTTCCAAAGTACAGCTTATGGATTACAATGGCTTTCCCCCCCCCATAATTTCCCTCCCACCTGCAACCCTCCCCTCTCCTGCTCTCCCTCTCCCCTTCCATTCATATCAAGATTCATTTTCAATTAAATAAAGATATTATTAAGAACAAAGTTTTCAGGGCTAGCAATATGGTACGGCAGGTTAGCCCACCACCAGTGATGCTGACATCCATGTCCGCAGTGGTTCAAATCTTGACTATTCCATTTCCCATCCAGTGCTGTGCCGATGATCCTGGGACGGTGGAGATAATGGCTCAGCCTGTTGACCCCTACCGTCCATGTGGGAGACAAGAATGGACTTCTGGCTCTTGGCTTTGGCTTGACTCAGCCCTGGACATTGCAGCAATTTGAAGAGTAAACCAGTGATTAGAAGATATCCCTATCTCTCCCTCACTCTCTGTGATCTGCCTTTCAAATAAAAATATAAATCTTACAGAAAGTTTTATCATTGTCAGCAACATGTTAATGTTCTTGAGAATATGCTAATTTAATAATTTAGTGTCTAGAACTAATTCATTAAATTTTTTGATGGTTGTTTTTAATGTGTAAAAATTTTTCTTAAATCAATATAGATTTTACTTTTTTCTTATTTATCAGCTAGAATTACCAGTAGCAATGTTGAATAAAAATCTGTTTATTTTCCCAATTTTGGTGAAAAAACTTCAAATATTTTATTACTAAATTTAATGTCCCTACAGAATAGGAATTCATAAGTATCATGTAATTCTTCTACTTCTTACATGCTGAGCATTTTACTATATATGTGTGTGTGTGTGTGTGTATATTTTCACAGTCATCCATGCTACATATATAAATATATACTTATATATTATATATAGTATATATTTGAGATACTTGATAGATAATGGTTTTTAAAAAACATCAATGTCAAAATAAAGCAATATTTACTGAGATAAAATTGCATTTCTAAGCAAACTTTTTTGGATATGTGATGGACTGTGCTTGCAAATACTTTTAGGACATTGCAGTTGTGTTTGTAAGTGGAATGTGCCTATAATTTTATCTTCTCATAAGCCTATTATCTGGATTTGCTATCAGTAGTGTGGATTGTTACAGCCATGACTCTCAGAGAATCACTCCACCAGATATCTTCACCCATGTCTAAGTTTCTCCCAACATTGATTCTAGGTTTGATTATATGACTTCCCTAGGCAAATCAGATAGTTGTAAACATATAGGGAGAAGATGGAAGATGCCTTGCACAGTGGAGCCTGGCCTCTTTCTTAATGTTTTAGTGCCTAGCTATGATGTGAGGAAGTGCAGGACAGCCTGATAAAGACCCAAGATCAACAGAAACTCAGTACCACAGACCAGACATGTGGCTGAGGCCATCCTACACCAGACTATCAACCCAGCCACTAGACAGGGCAGTGGCATGAGTGACAACCACTGCTAGTATAATAATTTATAAAGTATGTGAGGAATTTTCTCTTTTTCTACTTTTACAGATCAAATTTTTTTGATAGAGAAAAGCTTAAAAAATTGTGTTTCCTCTTAAACCTGTTATTTTGGTGTTCTTTTTTTAGTACCATGTCGTTAGGTTATTTTGTGTATTTCTGGTAGTAAGGTATTACTTCTTTAATCTGTTAGTGACTCATTTATTCACTAATAATCGGCAACATATCCCTTTGTTCCAGTTGATTTTTAAGGAGTTTTTTCTTCATCTTTGATATTCTGCAATTTTTCTGCAATGATATCTGATTGACTTATCATTCCTTTATTTCTGAAATAACATCAAGAGTTGCCTTCAGTATTATCTTGGATTGCTTTTCTGGAATTACCTGTTTGTTTCTTCACTGAGAGGGAGAAAGGATGAGAGACATAGAGCACTCCCATCTGTAGGTTTACTCCCTAAATGCCTGCAACAGTCAAGGCTGGGACAGGTTGAATTGGGAGCTAGGAACTTAATCCAGATCTCCCGTTTGGGTGGCAAGAATACAATTACTTGAGCATTAACACTGACTTCAAGGATCTGCATTGATTGGAGGCTGGGATCATTAATCAGAAATGAAAATCAAATGTAGGCACTCAGATATGAAATGCAGGCATTACAACAAGGTACTTAACCATTTTAAATCCAGAATTGAACTCTGATGAGAAAACATTTCTTACTATACAAGAAGTACAACTGTAGCTTTATAAAATACAAGGGAAAAATGTCATGTGAAAACTTACCATGGTGTCATCAGCGACAATGAACAGTTCAATATACTTTTCTTTATGGTTGTTCTGTAAATTTATGGAAAATTCAATAAAGCATGATCAACATTTTTCATCAACATTTTAAGTTGAAAAAAAGCTAACATTTTCAAGGTAAGAAATGTTACTATAATTATTTAACCTAATTTTCTGATAAATATCTAATTTTATTATAAATTTATCTAAGACCAACTATATTATTAAAAATCTGTCCCTAAACATATTTTACAATCTTAAATATACAATACTTGATAATTCTTCCCTTCTTCAGTATTTCAGTTCAAATCATAGTTATAATCATAAGTGAAGTTCTTAACACTTGATTTTTTTTTTTAAATTTACACAGTAAAGGCTTCCTAAGTAAGTAAAAGCACCCATATACACCCTACAGCCACAGCAGGACTACCAGGATCGACTGCATTCTTTCTACTCAACCAGCCTCCTAATTTGCCATCATCTCAATTCCAGGGAACAAATAAATATTGATAATCATAGATCTTTTTATAAAGCATAAATATCATGAATCTTGCTAAGTTGTCCACTTTCAGTGGCAAATACAGAGGCATATGAGTATTCTCTGAGGATAAACCCGAGGCCTATCTTTCCAAGATTTGACTAAGTCATGCTCTTGTAGACTGAATAATTTAATAAATAAGTAATTCAATCAATACACATGTTAGACATCTAGTATGTTTTAGACTGTTTATATCACAAACATGCAAAGCAGATAAACAATCATATAGCTTACAATCTAACAACTAGTAGGGACTTCAAGGAATATGAACTAGTTGCATAAAAAAGCTTTAACACAGAGGACTTCAAGCAACCTTCCACCTGAAATGGAATTTATTTCTCTTAATTTTCCACAACCACCAGAACAGTTGGCCTGATGTAAGGTAAAGTTTGTTTTGTCATCAAACCCCTCCCTCTGCCCCCAATCCAAAATGACAAGGAAGGCAAGGAAAGACAATTATCTAGGATACATTTCATTACATTGCAAATGTCATTGTTTACAGTCACCTACATTCCTAAAGTTGCCAATCTACAGGTGGGGTTGAAGACTCCCTCCTCTCTTGAAATTGATAGGACTAAGATTTACTGTAGTGTGTGAATACTTTGTACATAGATAAAAAGTACAAGAGCTTGAGTTTAAGATTTCAGACCACTTGATTTTAAGATTTCAGAGTAGCTCATACCTTTCAATAGCTGAATAGATTCTCTCTTCCTCAAGATTGTAAAGGAAATAAAAGATGTTTTTCTTATATTAAAGATGATTTTAAAAATAGAGTACTCAGGGGCCAGCATTGTGGCATAATGGCTAAAGCCCACCTGCAGTGCCAGCATCCCATATGAGTGCTGGTTCAAGTGCCAGCTGCTCCACTTCTGATCCAGCTTTCTTCTATGGCCTGGGAAAGCAGTAGAAGATGGTATAAGCCCTGGGACCCCTGCACCAGTGTAGGAGATCCAGAGGAGGCTCCTGGCTCCTGCTTCAGATGGGCGCAGCTTCAGCCATTGCGACCATCTGTGGAGTGAACCAGCAGATGGAAGACCTCTCTCTCTATCTCTGCCTCTCTGTAAATCTGTCTTTAAAATAAATAAATAAACCATTTTAAAAAATAGAGTACTCACTTCTTTTTTTTTTTTTTTTTTTGCAAGTACTTGAAACCTTTATTTAACATAATATTTAGTTTGGAGTGAAGAATCTTTATTTAATCAGAGCAATAAAATTTTTATAGACATAAAATAATGTTGCTATATAGGGTGAATTAAGAGGATTCAAGAATCAAAAATCCAGGACAAATTTACAGCTATACACCAGAGCAAACTGAATGGGCTGTGAACAGGTTCTGCTCACTTTTTTAACCAACACAGGTAAAATTAGATAAGCAAATAATCAGCTGTTTTGTTTGCCTTTAAGGTGATGAGAACACACCATACCTCCCGGTTTCCTCCACTATAGACTCACAGATTCATCATGGGGATAATCTTGCTGTAAAAGACAGGTTTTACCTAGTTCGAGATGCTCCATTAAAAATTACTGACAGTTTTAACTCAATATGGCTAGGTATGGAAGTCTTTGCACTTCCCTATAGAGAAATAAATCCATAAGTTGATCACAGTAATGAAAATTATGGGACCCATAACTGTGATCAGGAAGCTGAGCTCAAGATCAGAAAGTCACAAATGCACAGGATGAAGCTACTAGCAAGAGGATGTCAGAAAAGAAGTTCACCACTTTGAACTTACAGAAGAGCTAAGATAGTGCACTTGATGTTGTTATTGAAACACACATTCTCTCCTGGGATCAAGTAGTCAGTAGTGAACAGAAAACTTAGTTACTGGAGTACTCACTTCTTTTTGAGAGTCTTCCTTAGAGCTGGTATTCTTTAGATGATTTTTTGCAGTAGAATTGAGCTCTGCACAAGAATAATTGGTTGAATACAGCACACTTGGGTTATATTTGAACACCAAATGTTCCCCCTCATCTGAGTATTTCACAGGTTCGATGAGGTATCTTTGGTCATGTACTCTGAAGAATCCTCTGGAACAATTAGGAATACAATAAATATTCAATAATTATTTCATCCCATCTTGTTTACTTCATCTTTTCTAAAAAGGGAAACCACAAGACCAATACCTCCTGAGCTTGTAGCTTGGTGTTTGGGGTGCTAAACATACTAGGTAAGACATGACCTTTGGTTAATTAATAAATTTCTCTAAGAATCAACTTTCCTGGATTTTCAGAAGTTTACCAGTCTAATCTCTGCTCTGGAGATAGGTATAGTAGTTATTACCACCTTGGTTGTGGACCACTGCCAAATTTCAGTTTCTGCAAAGTTTTGTAAATTTCTATGTCCATTATCTATTACTTTTAGATTAAATATATGGAAGCCCCAATAACCCTATATGGTAATTTTGTCATTAAAGGAGTTCCCATCCTAGCAAATACTAGCAGCTACTGAAGTAAGCCCACATAAGTGGAGATAAAGTATCTCATTCTTTTACGCTTTACCTCCTCTGCATTGCCCTCCTTTGTCCTTGAGCTCAATATCTCTACAGAATGATAGGTTTTACTCTGACTTCTTACTTTGTAGAGACTGGAAACAGCCTCAATTATTGAAGCGTATCAGTGTGATGGGAATTCACAGACTTAACACTCAAAAGACCTGGATTTTGGACTCTGTTCTGTCACTCAAGATTGAATGTTTAGGAGTAAATCTCTGATTTCAGTATTCTGATCCATAATGTGAGGAAAGGGTAGATGACTTTCAGGTATCATCCAACCGTGAATCTCTTGACTGTATGCTGCAAAAAACTTGTCTTGCTTAGGGCTGTGCATTAGACATTGTTTTGTCAAACATGAGTACAAATCAGAGGCTACAGCTGATATTCCTGATGAGAACATATAATGGCTCTTTCTCATTCATTATTTTACTTAGCAGAATTGGTAAAAGGAAATAAGTGGATATCTTTGAGTATTCATAAGAAAATGCAAAAGGAAAAAGAAAATAGTCTGTATTACCTCAGGCCATTACATGTGCTGATACTGGCATCAGAATCAAGTTCATGTATGATGGATCCTTGGTAAAAACAGTGCTCCTAAAATAGAAAAAGTAATCTGTTAATGTAAGAAAGCTATTGATATATTAATATCTAAATGTTTTCTATTCAAAATCTTAGTATTTCATTCGGACAAGATACAGTCATACTTGTTCACGCATTCATTCATACATGCTTTCATTTGGACATAGTAGAGCTTGCTGTAGAGAACTTTTCCTTATTTGTATATTTACTAATTTATATAAAATTATATGAGTAATCTTTCAAAAATGTAATAATCTCTTACGTAATATCAGTTTCAGAAATCTGCCTTTTTCCTTAGAAATATTACCTCTTGAATCCATTCTAAAATCCATTAACTGTCCTCTGCTAATAGTTACAATTATTATTAATTGCCTAATAAATGAAGTCAATTTGATGATTCCCCCAATTAGATATCACGCTCAAACAAGTTCCCCTGATTCAATCAAGTTCATGTCTTCATTGCTCCTGATCTGGTGTTTTTGCCCCTAAGTAATCTCATCAAATAATCATTCTTTTTTTTTTTTTTTTTTTTTGACAGGTAGAGTTCGAGAGAGAGAGAGAGGGAGAGAGAAAGATCTTCCTTTTCCGTTGGTTCTAGGGCCGGCGCGCTGCACCAATCTGAAGCCAGGAGCCAGGTGCTTCTTCCTGGTCTCCCATGTGGGTACAGGGCCAAGGACCTGGGCCATCCTCCACTGCACTCCCTGGGCCACAGCAGAGAGCTGGACTGGAAGAGGAGCAACTGGGACAGAATCCGGCACCCCAACCGGGACTAGAACCCAGGTGCCTGCACCACAGGCGGAGGATTAGCCAAGTGAGCCACGGTGCTGGCCCTCAAATAATCATTCTTCCCATCAGTTCTATACGTTCAACTTCTGCCTATGGGTGACACTTTCTATGGCCTTCCAGGGAACTTACATCCTCACAGGCTAATAACCACCCCCTACATCAAAGAGTGCTACCAATTTTCCTCCTGTCTTACTTTTCAAGATTGTATGATGAGTTAGATCTCATAGAATTTGACAGTTGTTTCAAAAGAGGAAATTGGTTTTTGCAAGTGTATTGTTATTTTAAGTACTCACCAGAGTATCTTCAATGGTAACTGAAAAAAGCTTCATTTGGAAAAGGTAAGAGAGACATCAGTTGTGGGGAGCAATCCGGACTAGACTAAGTTGCTCGAATTAGGACTTATTCTATGCATCTGCTCTCCCACAATATGGCGCTGGGAGAGAAGTAAACAGCTTCCGCACAGCTGCCTCCAGTTCAACCAATTAACTGTAGGACTTGCTCCTGATTGGAGAGCAGCGTACTCAGCCGAGTTGGGATTGGCGGAGGAGGACTATAAAGGAGGAGAGAGACGGCATGCACCAAAAACATCTATGGGGAACATCTAAGGGAACCCGTGCAGCCCCCGAGAGAACCGGCCGGCGGTGTGCCGCTCCCCTGCGGAAGTGGGGAATGCGGCCAGGGGGAACTGCCCTTCCACGGAGGTGGAAGGGATAGTAGCCAACCCGGGAAGAACCAGCAGCAAACCCGGGGAGGGCCGAGCAGACGAAAGAACAGCGCAGGGTCCTGTGTCGTTCCTCCACGAAGAGGGGGAGCGACATAATGGTGCCGTGACTCGGATATGAAGCCTAGGCAGGGTTTAGTGTCGTTCCTCCATGAAGAGGGGGAGCGACATAATGGTGCCGTGACTCGGATATGAAGCCTAGGCAGGGTTTAGTGTCGTTCCTCCATGAAGAGGGGGAGCGACATCAGTATTGGTGCAATACTGGGCAAGGGATAGGAATCACATGAAGCCAATTTGATGGATATTTTCAAAGTTGTTTCTTTTCTTCAGATTTTACCCATTTTGATTGCAATGTCATCAGAGTGCCTTTATACTTCTTTAGGGTCCTTCACCTTCTTCCAGACTTAACATATTGGTTCTATGGAAATCAGTTTAGTAAACAAGGATACATTGCCATTCACTAATTTGCTTCTTTGTCAGTGATCAGCTTCCTTCAGAGCTCAAAGTGTCATAATTTCTTTTCTATAAACATTCTAGAGAATTCACTTCAGGACTTATTTCTATTATCGTGCTTTGGAGTGGTTTGTTGAGCTAGAACTCAAAATCACATTAGGAAACAATTTCAGAGAAGAGACTTAAGAAGATACTAAGATACCTTGATCTGAACCTGCCTCATGAATGCTTCTCCTTTTGTGATGTAGTGTGTTTCACTATAATTTGAGGCTAGGAACTCCCTGAAAAACAGAGCAGAAAGGTAGAGTGATTTATTCATTCTAAAAATCTAGCAGATGAAAACACCATGTGATAAAAAAGTCTCCAGGCTGTTCTCAAATCTCAGCAAGTTCTCTCCTGATTAAAAAAAAAATCAGCATCAAATCCACTCATATGAAAAGCCTTCTACCTAAATTTCTGGTTTTATAAAGGCTGTAGATAAGCCAGGTAAAGATTCTGACAATTTTAAGAAAATCAACATTTTTTAAAAGGACTCAGAGAAAATGATATCTAAGTAGGCATTTGAATATAAAAATTATATATAAATGTGTGACATGATATATTTCACTATATAATAACCTAAAAGCTATACATATATGTATATATATATATTGTAAATTTCTGAAACAAAACAGCTCAGAGGAAGTTATTCCAAATCCCACCATAGAGATAACCATCAATGCTACTCTTTCCACATAATATTTTGTAGTCCTTTCTCTGTGCAAGAAGAGGGATGCCTTTTTGAGTTTTCACTCAAGTCACCCAATGTCTACACTTTCCTGTGCATTAAACAGCAGGCAGCCAGCATCATGTTATTAGCCTCTGGAGATGGATATCACAATAGAACCCAAGAACACAAAAGTAAATTGTTTTACTTTACCTTGAAAAATAGACATTTGAAACACATGACAGAAACATTAGTCGTACAAGTTAAGGCTTCTGAAATGCAACAACTGAGCTTTTTGGGTTTCCACAGTATAACTGCCATGAGTTCAAGATATTCTATAAATAACACTTTGATAAAGTAGGAGAGAAGCCAGGCTACTCCATCACCAAACTGTGTCTTTTCCCTTCAGACTGTCCATTTTTTTGTACAGTGGCACATTCCAAGTGCTAGTGAAAATAAAGAGTGAATTCTTCTTATTCAGCAGTCATTCCTTAGGTATCAATGTCTTTAGCTGGTCTACTTTCTCTCTGTTCTTCAGCCTTCTTTTATTGTGTGTGTGTGTGTGTGTGTGTGTAATCTCTATATGTAGAATGTCTCTTTGTATTTAGTCACAAGGATGGGGAGAAGTTTGTTCCACTTTTCTCCAAGTGGAAATTCTAGAATTTTTTAAAATATATAACAATATAAACATGTCAAGAAACTGTATAAAATACTATATCAGATAGAATCCCATAGTATTTTGATACATAATATGACAGTCTAGTATTAAATCTGAGATTAAATATATGTTATATCACTGCAACACATTTATATGTATTTATGTTGTTGGTATGATCCATTCAAAGAAAGACTAATCAGGATAGCAGCCAGACATTAGCTTTTTCCCTCCAATTAAACATTTTGTTTCAGTAGTGAAATATGTAATATGATGAAAAATGATCATATGTCCATAATAAGTTATCTAAAATCAATAAGCCATAAATTTAATATAGACTAAAAGTGCCATTTCAGCTAGATGGGAGGAATTATGTTTGAGAGATCTATTGTACAATGTGGTGATTACAACAAACGTGTATTTTGCACTTGAAAACTATTGAGAGTGAATTTAAATGTTTTCTCCAAAAATGAGTAAATAGATAAGAAAATGCATATAAAGTCAGTCATCCCCAGTATCCAGGGGATATTGAGTACGTGGCTCCCTCTCCCCCATGGATACCCAAATCTGCAGATATTCACAACTATTATATATAAAATGATACAATATTTGCATATAACCTATGCATATTCAGTCCTACACTTTAAGTCATCTCTAGATTTATAATACCAAATATAAGATAGTTTATGAATAATTATCATATTTTGCTGTTTAGTAATAATGACAAGAAAAAAAGTCTGCAGATATTTTCCTTGATATCTTAAGCACTATTGGTTGGACACACATACATGGAATCTACTGTTTGAATTTTTTTGTGTAAGCTCAAAAACAGCTCCAACTTCCAAGTAACTCCATTTTACTCCTGAGAGGAAAGTCCTGTCTCAGCTATGCTGTCTCCCAAATGAGGTAAGTAACAACCCCCAGCTGCACAATTCCTAGAATAACCAGTGAGCACCTGACTTCCCCAGCATATATCAAGCCTGGCCCCAACCTGGATGCTAAACATGCAAAATCTGAAAGACAACAGAAGGCAGACATCCTGCTTCACGCTCATCATAAAAATAAAAAAGCACACAAACATGAACAAACACCTGTTCATTTCTGCGACTTTTGAATGCTCAAAGAACAGACAAGGATGGAAAAATCCTCAGTTATGTAAACAAACTCAGTCTCAAATTCTCAGTTATCCCTGAACCATGTATATGAGGGACAGAATAAAAGTAGTTCTTCTAAGAATAAAATAACTGAACTGAAATAGGAGAGCCACCCAATGACAGGTGTACTTGGAGTTCAACAAAGTAACTGTCTAATTAAGTAAAAGTACAGATATAACAGAAACCGGTTTCTTCCACATAACATTCAAATTGTTCAAGACATAATCCAAATTTTACTTCTTATGATGAAATATGCAAATTTGAGCTATTGTCAAGAAAAAAAGACAACTAGTATAGAACTACCAGAGGCTTGTCCAGAGGTTGAAAGTACAGATGAGGATGTTAAAACAACTATTAAAACTATGCTTAACTATGTGAAAGAAAATATGTTTGAACTCAAGACATGAAATATCAAAAAAGAAATGGAAATATTATAAAAGCAAATTGAAATAATTGAAAAATATAATAAATATAACAGCATAAGGAAGTAGCAGATATATGCAAACTTGTATAATCATAACATTTTATATAAAATTATATAAATGTAAATATTAACCATTGTTAATTAGTTTAAATAAACATTATAGTTTGAAATTGATACAGAAGGCCTGGCATTGTGGTGTAGTAGGTGGAGCTGCCATTTACAACACTGGCATTGCTTTTAGGAGTGCCAGTTCTAGTCCCAGTTGCTCTGCTTCCAATCCAGCTTCTTGCTAATGTGCCTGAAAAGGCAGCAGAAGATGGTCTAAGTACTTGGGCTCTTGCCATTTATGTGAGAGACCAGGATAGAGTTACTGGATCCTGGCTTCAGTTAGGTTTAGCCCTGTCTGTTGTGGGCATTTGGAGAGTGAACTAGTAGGTGGTAGATTTCTGTCTCTTTCTGTCACTCTACCTTTAAAATAAAAACAAATACATAAAATTTTAAAAGCATTATTAAAAATATTAGGTAACAACAAAATATACAAGTAACAAAAGTCTTCTGAGAGCTCTACATTGTAAATCATAGAATACTATTGAAGAATTCAAAGACAAATACATATTAAATCTCTAACTTAAATACTCATTGAGATATCAGATCTCTCCAAATTGATCTACAGATTTAATAAAATCCCAATCAATGTTCCAGCAGTCTATTTTCTAGTACTGACAAGGTGATTCTAACTAATTTTTTTAAAGATTTATTTACTTATTTGAAAGGCAGAGTTACAGAGAGGCAGAGGCAGAGGCAGAGAGAGAGAGAGAGAGAGGTCTTCCATCCGCTGGTTCACTCCCCAGATGGCGGCAATGGCCAGAGCTGTGCTGATCCGAAGCCAGGAGCCAGGAACTTCTTCCCAGTTTCCCATGGGTGCAGGGGCCATAGGACTTGGGCCATTTTGTATTGCCTTCTCAAGCCATAGTAGAGAGCTGGACTGGAAGTGGAGCAGCCGGGAAACGAACTGACGCCCATATGGGATGCCAGCACTGCAGGCAGCAGCTTTACCCACTACGCCATAGTGCCAGCCCCGGTGATTCTAACTTTTATACAGAAATGTAAATTACCTATAATTTAAAGTAATCTACCATAGAAGAAAATGGGAAAAGTTACACACAGTGGTTACAAGGCAATGTATAAAGCTGCAGTAATGAAGACAGAGCAGTTATGGGCTAAGAATTGAATAAACAGATGAATAAGATAGAATATAGATCCGATAAATAATCATTTGATTTTCTCCAACTTATCAAAGAATCATTTGATACAGAAAAGAGAATTCAACAAAATGGACTGCTGTAATTGGTTATAAGTATGAAAAAAACCTTCACTTTTCCAGCAAATTACACACATACACATGCATATACACACACATTTGAATACACACAGAAATTCAAGATGATAATAGAGCAAAATGAAAATCTAAAACTGTGAAGACTTAAAAGTAAACAATGTGAAATATAATGACTTAAAGGTTGCCAATTTTTCTTAGGTCCTAGAAAGCAAAGAATATAGGGGTAAAAAAGAGGAACTAAAATTTCTTTGAAATAATGAACAATTTTAAATATTTATTTATTTGAAAGGCAGAGTGACCCAGAGAGAAAGATTTTGCATCGGCTGATTAACTCCCCCAAAGCCTGCAACAGCAGGACTGGGCCAGGACAAAGCCAGGAACCAGGAACACCATCCTGGTCTCCCACCTGGGTGGCAGGAACTCAAGCAACTGATTCATCATCTGCCATTTCCCAGGTGCATTAACAGAAAGCTGAATCAAAGTGGGGCTTAGGAGAATCAACCCCAAGCACTCCAATATGGGATGTAGGCATCCTACGTGGCAGCATGGCCTGATCCACCAACCAAAAATAACAGTTTTTCTTTTCTTTGACAGGTAGAGTCATAGACAGTGAGACAGAGAGAAAAGTCTTCCTTCTACTGGTTCACTCCCCAAATGGCCACCAAGGCAGGTGCTGCACCGATCTGAAGCCAGGAGCCAGGTGCTTCTTCCTGGTTTCCCATGTGGGTGCAGGTGCCCAAACACTTGGGCCATCCTCCACTGCCTTCCCAGGCCACAGCAGAGAGCTGGACTGGAAGAGGAGCAACTAGGACTAGAACCTGGCACCCATATGGGATGCCAGTACTACAGGCAGAGGATTAACCAAGTGAGCCACGGAGCCGGCCCAATAACATAATTTTTACTCTTCAATAGGCACAACAAGATTTCCAATATGGATGAGTAGAGAAAAGATGTGCTGCATGACCAGCAGAAAATAGCAGAAGAAAAGCAGAGGAAGTGCATT